TTTTTTTTTAAATTACTAAAAAACTGTATCAGTCTTCGGGAGTCAGATGAAGGACCTGGTGAAAGTAGGTAAGACTGACAAACGACCGATACCGACAGGGTGTGCAGTAGCAAATGGGATGCCACAGTTGCCAGGTTTAGCAAATAAAAAGAGGAACCACAGTTAAATTTGAATTTCAGATAAAGAAAAATACTTTTAAAGTATAAATATGCCCCCTATTTTATCTGGAGACTCCGTCCCCAGGAGATCGTCACTTCCACCAGAAGGTAAGGTTCTTGAGGGCAGGGGTTTCTGCCTGGTTTGCTCCTGCTGCATCTCGCCCCTGGGCCGAGAACATCGCCTGGCTCGCTGCAGCGGCCCAGTGACGTTGCCCGTGTACTGGTGCGGTTTATTTCCTAGGCTCGGTGGTAGGTACGTGGTGCTTATTATCTAACCTTTACACATTCTGTATGTCTGAAATGTACCGTAACAAATTTTACAAAGCACAGTATTATTTTCTACTCTTTACAAAGCACAGTATTATTTTCTAACTACTCTTATTTTCTAATCAGCATCTTCTAACTGAAGGACTCACTGGGGAAGTCAGAGTATAAAAGGCGTGTGTGACTCGTCCCTTTCCCAATTTAAACTCTAAACTGGGACGTGAACATGGGATGGTCAGTCCTCAGCCGGTTTCCGTAGCCAAGGGCACAGTGCAGCCAGGTGGTGTTTTTTTCACCTGCTCTACTTTTGCTTTTGCTTTACTCCTAAAACCATGAACAGTGCCTCTTGTGCCTCTTTTGCTGATGCCCTGACCCCAGCTTCACAAGGGATTTCTCCTCATGTCCTGTGGAGCCCAAAACTGTGATTTTTCTGGGGAGAAGGGAGGAGGACCCCTTTCGGTCATAACACATCTAGGGGAAGTATAGTTTTAAAATGCGTATTTAATAGTATACTTTATCTTTGGAGAATGAAAAAAAAAAAAAAAACTGTATCATTTACTCCACATTTAAAACTCCCAAATAATTTATCTTTTTCTCATGGGAAAGAGTAATCACCAGTATTCATTAGCTGCCACAAAGCCCTCTTCATCCCATCTTAATCTGGAGCCTGTAAATGCTATGTTAATTATATTTCAAAATAGTATATTTATAACCAGCAAATACTTTCATATTGTTTGAATTTGGCTTTAAAAAAAAGCTTAAAATGATTTTTATAAGCACCATCTCAGCTACGTGAAATATATAAAATTTAAATAGTGTATGCAAAATGAGCAAAACATTCATTTCTGAGTGATAGTATTATCAATAATTCTTGCTTTTTATACAATACTATATGTCTATACTTTAAAATGTTCTATACTATCATATATATGCACATATATACTGTGGTATGTATACATAAATATACTGCATATATGTTTAGTTATCTATGCGCGTGTGTAATTAATTGTGTATGACTGAGCCTCTAATCAGATTTGCTTACAGGCTTACAAAGGTCATGGTGACTAGAATAAACAAAAACCTTCCCTTGCCTGGTCCAGATACCTGTGTACGTTAATGAGCCATACCCTGAAACCCAGAAGTCACCCAGAAGTAGAGAGCTTTCCTTTGCATTCAAACTCAGCGCCCAGACCCATAAAGGCAGGACACAAGTGAAGAGTGGAAGTTACAGCCAGATCATCAGACTTCAGGAACAAAGAGAAAAGAGACTCTCCAGGACCAGCAAGTTATAAAAGGAATGAGGGACAAATGGGGTAGATATATTAAACCCGTGCAGTCAGATCTTGTCAGAGACCCCAGAGGGTGGAGATCTGAGGCCCCGACAATTCCAAGCCCCCGCTCCCTCTGAGTGTGTGAACAGAAGAGAGGGCAGGACAGGGGAGGGAGATCGCAGCATCACAGGATTGACTGAAACTCGCCCACAACTCTCAAGAAATTTCACAATGTTTCTTTCAGGCTCCTTCCTTATCAAATATTTCACTAGAGAAACAGGTACCCTGTGCTGCACAGGGACGGTCATGCTGATGATGGCGCTAACAGCGTGATCTCAAGATCATTGTGAAGATTACGATGATGGTAACACAGGGAAAGCATCTTGGGCACCACAGTACCCAGTGAGTGTCCATTAAATGTTAGGTATTCTCCTGAGCAGAATTTAGAGAAGTCCCAAGAAGTTGGACAACAGAAAGGACAAGCAAAAGAATGAATGAAATAAAAAGTTGAGTTTATTTGGGTTTGGTCTTTGGCAAACTATCACATTCTTGCCAGAGCAGATAGCTGCAGCTGGGATGGTTGGAATACAAAGTCACATATGAGGTGGGACTCCCCGCCAAAAAACCCAAAATTATCTTCTGGAGGGCAGGTTCCTTGTAGTACAGCCTTCTTCTGCTAGGTGAGTGTTCTAGGAAACCCATCTGTATCAGTGTACCAGTTGGCATTGCTGTGAGAGGCTGTTTAGCTTCAGTGATTTTTTTTTTTTTTGGAAGACTCTCTCAGTGCATTTGCCCATTTCATGACGGGTGATTTACAAGTGCACACCTGCTCACACCGTGCTGAGTGTTCAGCAGTTTTTGACCAAAAACGGCATGACCCCCTTTGTCCCTCCCTCTCTACCCCAGTGATTTTGTTTGTTTGTTTGTTTGCCTGGATAAAAAAAGGCCCTTAAAGGGAAAGGTTTGCCAACGTGGAAAAGGTGAAACAAAAAATGGCAGAAGCACTAAAAGGCTTCAAAATTGATGAGTTCAAAAACTGTTTTGAGCAGTGGAAAAAAATGTCTCGATAAGGTATCCTACATCAAATGGAGAGTACTCTGACGGCTACTGAAATTTAAACATGTAAGAATGAATACACAATTTTTTTATACATAAATTCCGTTTTTTGGGTCCTCGCTCGTACATGTACACCAAATACAAAACTTTAACTCAAAATATACTAAGGACCTAAATGTAAGACCTAAAACCATAAAACTCCCAGAAGAAAACATATATAGTAAACTATTTGATATCAGTCTTAGTAATATATATTTGGGTATGTCTCAAGCAAGGTAAACAACATAAACAAATGGAACTTCATCAAACTAAAAAGCTTCTGCACAGCAAAGGAAACCAACAAACCAAACAAAAAAACCCCTACTGAATGGGAGAATATAGTCACAAATGATTTATCTGATCAGAGGATGATATCCAAAATATATAAGGAGCTCACACAACTAAATAACGAAAAAATAAACAATCGGATCAAAAAATGGGCAGACAACCTGAAGAGACATTTCTTCAAAGAAGACATATAGATGGCCAAGAGACAGATGAAAAGATGTGCAATATCACTAATCATCAGGGAAATGCAATTAAAAATCACGAGATACCACCTCATACCAGTCAGAACGGATATTATTAAAAAGTCAACAAACAGCAAGTGTTGATGAGAATGTGGAGAAAAGGGAACCCTGGTGCAATGTCGATGGAACTGGAAATGGAAGCAGCTATTATAGAAAACAGTACGGAGATTCCTCAAAAAACTAAAAAAAAGTACCATATGACCCAGCAATTCCATTTGTTGGTATTCATCCTAAAAAAAGGAAAACACTGATTTGAAATGATATATGCTCTCCTATGTTCATCGCAGCATTATTTATAATAGCCAAGATTCATATGGTGGAATATTATCCATCAATAAAAAAGAATGAAATCCTGCTACTTGCAGCAACAGAGCGGGACCTAGAGGGTACTATTATGCTAAGTGAGATAAGTCAGAGTGAGAGACAAGTATCACATGATTTGACCCATATGCGGAATTAAAACAAACAAACAAACAAACAAAAACAAACACAGACTCATAGAATCAAAGAACAAACTGATGGTTGCCAGAGAGGAGAGAAGTGGAGAGATGCGTAAAAAAAATGAAGGGGAATATAGTCAATAATAGTGTGATAAATTTGCATAGGTGGTTACTGTGTAGTGTGGTGAGCACATCTTAAGATATATAAATGTTGAATCACTATGTTGTGTACCTGAAACTAATACAATATTATATGCCAACTATAATAAAAAAAGACTTTTTTAAAAGAAAAGTCACATACATGGGCTGGGTGTGCCCACTTTAGAGGTCTCTTCCTCCTGTTGTTAGCTTTAGAAGACCTCTCTCCCCTTTTAAAAAAGATTTTATTTATTTATTTTTGGACAGAGAGGAAGGGAAGGAGAAGGAGAGGGAGAGAAACATCACTGTGTGGCTGCCTCTCACTTGCCCGCTTCTGGGGACCTGGCGCGCAACCCAGGCACGCGCCGTGACTGGCAATTGAACTGAAGTCCCTTTGGTTTACAGGCTGGCGCTCAATCCACTGAGCCACACCAGCCAGGGCTTACTGCCCCGTGTTGTTGTTGTTGTTGTTGTTTTACGGTTTACATACTGTATTTGTTCCATCAATTTCTCCCAAATTTTATAAAAGTAATATTGGGATAGATACGCAAACTATATAGGTCTCTAACATAACCAAAATAAGTAGTAGAATGCAAGTTTCATGATTCATAATATGGCTTGTTGCAAGTGACTGTCTTGGAAAGTCACTTTAGAGAATATACCCTTCTCTTCCCCACTCCCTTTCCCTCTGTGTATGAACATCAAACAAAACTGCTTGGGAGTAGATACTAGGAATTGGTTTTAAGCATCCAAACTCATTTCCTCTCATTCTTCAATCCCTCATAAAGAAATGCCAGGGGAGTATACCTTATACTTGCATCAGCATTCAGGATTTTACATTTATCTTTCAACACTTCAATAGAATTGACTTAGGTAATAATTTACCTAACTGATTTCTGTACATGAAGACTCTGAAGATAAAAGGAAATTCTCTAAGAGATTAAAAAACAAAACAAAAAATCCCCCAACTTTAATGAATAGAAAATTGCTTTGAAATTCTAGTTATCTAGGTAACTTGCTATTACACATCCACTCACTAAAAGAGAAGTTAGAGTAGTCTGAGCACAGATACACACTAACACGCACACACTCCAGAACAGTTACCTGAAGCACAGCCGTTAACCTTTGTGGTATGAGCCATGATGGCGTGAATCCAATGATAGATCTAGAAAGGAGTGAGGAGTCATGCAAATTTTATGCATCAACTTCCCAAACGCAGTCAACCTGAAACAATAAAGAGAACCCCATCAAAATGGATCATTTAAAAATATGTACAACACTAAATCTTAGACTTCTGTTTATAAAGGTGACTGCTAATGGAGAAAGCAAATCCAAACGCAGGGAGACGGCCTGTGGATCAAGGGGGTGGATGCCCTGGGCTCAGCCATGAACAGGCGCTGAGAGCGGGTCTCTACACATAATACTCTTACGGGAAACAAAACTGCTTATCCAGAAATGGGACTTTTAGGAAGGTGGTTTGCAATCACAAATGGCTTCCTAATGTGGATGATTCGGTAGCACTTCACAAACTTGGTTTTTAAGGTTATTCTTCCTTCCACTGTAGGTTCACTAATTTCATTTACTCAATTTCAATTTGAAAGCAGTTGTTACACCAAATGTTCACATTTTTAAAAATGATTAAGTTCATGGCATTTTTTTGAGATAGTTCAAGTCTTTCATGTAAAACACAAATCTAATCTAGTTAGTTCCTCTCTTAAAAACAAAAAAATCTTCAATATTTCCCATTGTCCTGTTGGATAAACATCAAATGGCAGTTCTGAAATATTAGGGTTTATATTGGGCAACATATTTCTTACTTTATATTGATTGATTATTTAAAGGTTAACTGAGATTACTATAATGTTAACTGAGATTGCTACAATCACAAAATTTAAAACAAATTAAAAAAAGAAAATAGGAAAAACACATTGCTCCAACCTTTGCAAACCAAACAATGATACAGACAGAAATATTCCATGTCTCCTGTGCCCAAATTTTAACCTCAAACCCACAAAATGAGAAGAAATTGAGCCTAGCAAAGTCCAAGCTCAGAACTGAAGTATCAATTCAAATATCTACATGACTTCCCAACAAGAGCAGAATGCTAAAATAATATATCTATACACACTGGAATCCAAAGCAGCCACTGAAATTGTTCACAAGTTTTTAATAATACAGAAAAATACTCCAAGTACATTGATTAAAAAGCTATTCTATCATAAACCTAATTTTGTTAAAAATACTTATGTACATATTTAGACATTTATTTAAAACAATCAGAATACACCAAAATGTTCACTGTGGTTGCCCAAGGGGTGTGCAATTATGATTTTAGCTCCTTTACTACTTTAGTAATAATAATTATTAAAAAGAAACATTAGCTACATCCTGTCAACTTTGGTTTTATTTGCTTTAGAATGCACTGAAGAAAGGAAAAAGTATTTTAACAATGCTATGCAAAAGGAAACTATCAGACCCCACTCATGGAGATGCTTAAAGGTCAGAAATATAAGTAAATAAAAAGGAAGAAGAGGAAATGGCTGATCACTTTGATCACACGGGGTGAGAATTTCTTGCTGCTTAGCTTGTGAAATTTTCCTCACTGTTTGAATGGGTTTGTAGGATAGTTCAGAGCTAACGGCACAGGATCGGTTCTTCCACAGGCTGCTTGTGACAGGCGCATTCCCCTGCATGGCTCTTCCAGCTACGAAGACTACTGCTTGGCTGACAGGCGGAGAGTGAATTCTCCACCTTCCACGGGAGGCCTCCCTGTTCCTTGCTGGTCCCCAGTCTGCCGGGCAGTATGCAGAAGGCAGGATGGCTCTAATCCCTCTGACTATGTGGCAATCACCTGAGCTCCTGTTGGAAAGGGGCGCTGGTTCAGGTCCAGGGCATTGAACTTGGACAGCAATACCTCTGTGCACAGGCAGAGCTAGCTGAATCAAAGGCAGGCTTTAGGGATAGAGTGAGTATTATCTTTAAGCACAAGAATGACTATGTAAAAAGAAAAGAAACAAATGGGGACTCGGAGGACTGGAGGAGGAGGAGTGGGGAGGTTCAGAGGCAAAGCAAAGAAGCCCAGCTTCTGGAATTATTCAACTAATTTACTTTTAAAAGCCAACATCAAAAACCTAAGTGAAATCCCTGTTTACTAGCCCCTTTCTAGCCTGGTGTGTTTGTACTCTTGCTTCATAGTGGTGTGTAAATACCACGATTTAACCTCTGGAGGGCAAGCAGAAGGCAAGAAGAAACAAGCTGCATGTGCTATGGGTGCATGAAGTATTTGTCAAGGTATCTGGATGGAGATGTGCCCAGAACCTTCCTTGTCAAGCTTCATAAACTTTGGTCCAAGGTTCTTGCCGTTATAGAACCCCTTCCACCTGGCAGAAGATCCTTATTTCAGATTGTTTGATCTCTCCCACCCTCCTGCAAACTGAACAATAAAATCAAAATGTGGGGGAGCCTAAAATGAGGAACTACAAGCCTGCCAGTGTAAAATAACAAGAAAGACATGCTTATCACTGTGCATGGATCCTGGCAGTGTTTGTGCAAAAACAAGTTTTATATTGCGTATCGATTTTCCCCAGTTATTGTTCATGCCTGACAGGTGGCCTCAAATTGGGAGGACTCGGTCTTCTTAATGACATGCAGATTCTTATGTCGGTGTATTGTACAAACCAGAAAAGGTCTGGCCACAATCCATTCTCTGTTACAGATCAATAAACTGCTTCTTTTCTCCCTCAGAGAAAACCTGCAAACCAGTAAATCTTAAGTGGTACAATGGTGGCTTAGCTCTGCTTAGTAAGAAAGAGCAATTCTTCGAAAGGATTTAGGAAAATACATCAATAGAGAAAATAAAGAATTTGTCTTCTCTGTTTATTTCAAGAGACTGATCCGCATTGAAAAACATGTTAGTTAGCTTCCCAAGTATAATGAGGAGAATAATGCAGACATTATATACATTAACTCCTAAATACTTTCCGTTAGTTTAATTCAAAACAAATAATTTAAAAAATAGCTGAGCAGATCTTTTCTAAGAACACATCAACAAAAACAAATAGATGAAACTGAGTTGGCTAGCACTGCCAGCCAATCAAATGCCACTGTCCTGGTTAGAACCACAACAATGGCGATGCTGCCTTGGCTGATGGCAGCTGCTATTTATAGAGTTCTTACTACTATCCATTATTGAAACCTAAAACAATCTACTTCAAGGTGCCCCATTATTTAAATCAAAAAGGTTATTGCTAACTAAATGGTGATAATAGATGCATTTTAAAAAATTACATGAATTATAAGCTGCATCCTCATTTCAGAAATGTTAAAATGTGAAATACGTGTATCTTAGAACTGGCGAAATTACGTTACATGCAAGGCACTTACTTTTTAAGGCACTGAGGTATTTCCCTATTGAAAACTCAGAACCACCCTATTAAGTATTAAAATCCTCTTTCCCCATTTTATACAAAGGAAACTGAGGCAAAGGGAGGTGTAGACCTTGCCGAGGCCACACAGCCAGTAAGGGACAGAGCTACATTCAGGGCTCAGGGAGCCCTCTGGCTCATGCTGCAGCCCCGGGGGCGTGGGATTTAGAGTGAGGGCACCACTGCTTTAAGTAAAATGTGCCCGAGTGAGTGGGGTCCTCTTCAAGGCAGTCACCTGAGGGATGCATGTGCTGATCACTCAAACCTCTTTTAGAGAGAAAGTTAAGTTTCAAAGTGTTATGTAATATTGTTTTTCAAGCAATTGCATTCCCAATTTTATTCCTGGAGGTTACATGTTTTAAAGAGCCTGAAGAGGTATGACTCAGGAAATGTCTCGGTACTTAACCATCACACTCTCCTCTTAGCTTTGTTCCTTACATCCTGCTATCAATGTCATTTGACTGTTTCAAAAAATTAAGTATTGTACTTTTTCAATGGAAAAAAATGTTCCACCACTGAGGACAGGCGGGAGGCTCTCAGCGGAATCACAGGATTTTCAAAAATGGATAGAATTAGGGCAGCATAATTAGAAGAACCTTGCTGCTCCAAAGGACAATTACGACAGGGAAACAAGAGTTTTGATGTTGAAGTTCTAGAATCTCTTTTATACCATATCATAGTATTTTTCGTCACTTAATAAAATTAAGGAAGCAATATAAATAGCTTTACCTAAAATCTGGAAAAGACAGAACATGCAAAAAATAAGGTGATTTATTATCTCACAGTCCTAATGTAGCTATTGTTACCACCTGAGGCTATTTATTTTCAATATATTATTTGACTATGTATATTTTAATTACATTAACATGTTTTAAAGACCTGTAACATTCTAGAATGTGTACCGGTCATTTTTTTTTTTTTTGAGATATAAGATAAACTAAAGCACTGAGCCATTCCCAGAAGCTCACACACTAGCGCTAGAAGCAGACAGAGACACAATAAAAGGAGAAAGCCTAGAACAGCTGTGAACACACAGTTCAATTCCAATCCATAGTAAGGTGGTCTTACCTTTGCCCAAAAAGTATGGGAGTGGCCAAAAAAAAGTATTCACAAGAGACCACTAGGCCTAAGTAGCAAAGGATAAATGAGTCTTTTTCAGGATGAGAACGGAAGGTCATTCTAGGCAGAAGGAACAGCACGCGCAAAGGCAGAAGAGAAAGTGCGCGGCCAATGTGCAGCAGTGCTGTGGCCGTCTGTGTGCTCTGATGAGGGCGCAGTTGTAAGGAATGTGACTGCCTGAGCGAGATGACCTCAGAAGGCTGGGTGCTAAAGAGAAATCTGAAGGAAGTAGGCTCTGCATAAAAACCCCACAAAACCCAACAAACTGAAAAATCCCCCCCCCCATTTTTAACCTAATAAAAAAATGCAAAGTTCATTTATTTCTTTGAATAAGTCAGTCTTTCAAAGATGTATTCCAAAGCCTAACTTACTATATATATACCATCTATGACTGTCTACATATTTCGTCAAGATTGTAATTAAAAGTAATTTAATTAAAAGCATATTTTTAGTGCAAACTCTGGCCACAGTTCATCATCAGATTATCCTCTGGTGATTTCGAATATTGGCTTCTACTACAAGAATCGTGGGGTAATATTAACCAACTCCTGGTTATTTTGCAACCAAATTGCCTAATTATGACCCAACTCCATTTGGCCTCCTCAAATATAATAGATACTTTACTTGGTATGGGTGGGGTATATAGGTCAAGAGAAATCTCAATTATCATTCACGATCTAA